ACAAAGTCTGTAGTGTACCACAAGAGAGACACTACAAACTATACCACACAATCATTAAAAGCTATTTGTATTTTGGACCGATATATAACCGTAGAAAACACATGTAAAAGTGTAGATAGGGGTTTTGGAGTATATAAGGAGCGCACTAGCAGGTCAAAAGGAAGCAATCGTCCCCCGTTGACCAGCTAGTTGCACTCCAAGTAGAGACTTAGGAGGTGGACAGTTGTAATCAATTAAAGGAGATTTCTTCGTGGTCAAGAAAAGTACAGTGTGAACGAAGCCAGCGTGCTTGGGAGTCAACTTGCTTGGAGACTTTTGAATAAGAGGTTTTAAGGACACAGTATCATTTTAGACGAGACAGCGTACTCGTACCCTTGGTTTTGGAGCGTAGTGACATAATAAAAACTCACAGGAGTCATAAAAGTCAATTAAAGTCGTGTTTTGTGTTAATAAAAGAAACTGTGATCAAAGAACTTTGCATTTAAGAGACCAAGTTCCCAGAAAGATATACTTTGTTCTATTGAACTATTCTAAACCACACCTTATAATAAAAACCCAATTTTGAACGAAAACTCTTGAGACTTGAACCTAAGAAGACAAAAGTGGTATTTCTTAATACCAAAGGCCCTCGAACTCTTGCACCGAGATTGTGATAGTGTGTGTGTGTGTGTGTGAGTGAGTGTTAGGTGTTTAGGGTTTTCCCCCGACGCGCTTGATCCTTGTTTGCGTGTTTCGCACTTTCACGTTCATCCCCGTGCAAAGCATATCACCGTCGTCTGTGACCATTTCTACCAATATGCCGCCGTTTTGTAGCTTCAAAGCCGACCTAATTTTGTGCCGTTGTCCTGTCGCCCTTCCCATTGCCTCTGCGAACTTGCCCACCAGAGTCAGATTGGCGCAGTTGCTGAGGCTTGATCCCTTGGGTAGGTCGATTAGAGATTGTCGTTGCCTGATGTTCTCCTTCACAGCTAGACGAGGGTTAGCATCCATTGGGGCTCCAGAGGCCGTCCTTGTCAACGCGTCCCTGTATGGGGAGCTGGCTGTGTTCCCTGCCTGTTGTGCCACTTTTTCGACCACCGCTGCTAATTCCACTGTCTTTTCTTTCAACACCTCCGTCTTCTTCTCCAGCTCCTCCATAACCTTCTCTGTGAGCACCTCCGTGAACGTCTTCAAGTCGTTGGTCAACTCGTTGAGCTGAGCGTTGGCGATATCCCTAATGTCTTCCGCCACTACCTCCAGTTCGACGTCTCTCAACAGAAAAGCGACCGCGCGTACTGCGTTAACCGCAGGGAGGGCAACGCCCAGCATGGCCGCAATCTGGAAGAGCATCGTGGCAAGTGCACCCAAAGTGAGCAGTGCCCCTGCCGGAACCATGAGCAGCCTTCCCTCGAGGAAAGATCTCCCTTTCTCTGAGTCACCGATTTCGTGTTCGTGTTCGTCTGTCTCCACCGCCCCGGTGGCTCTCGTCTTTCCTCGTTCCTGTACTTCTGTGTCGATTGGTCGAGTTTGTCGAGTGGTCGTCACTTTACCTTTTTGTGGTGGAGCCGCCTGACTTTTGGGCTTCTGCCCGGTCCCAGACATGCTCTGAGGTTGTTATTAGCTGGTTTGGTAATAATATAAAAGTTTTTGAAAGCTGTATGTAGGCCAGAATGTGTGTTGCAGTTGACGAGTCGCCCAAAAATTTTCGGGGTCCTAGTCGGGGTGCCACGTGGTTCAGGTCCAAGGAAGGTTCAAACAGTTATAGATCGATGGAAGAGGACACAATCATTCAGCAGGCTCAGCTTGTCCCCCCTTCTATTCATGTCTACGCCCTACTATGGCCCAGACGAGTCGGCGTACGATATTTTCCTGGAGCGAACATTTTTGGCGGGGGATGTGATTTCTGGAACGGGATACGGTTAGCACACGCAATATCCTTGTCTTTCCAGCTCACAACTGTCATAGGCATCCAAGTCGTCCTCTTTGTATCCTGTGCGAGCATTCTCTACTCGCAGTACTCCCGCTCCCTGCGTTCCTCCTCTTCCTTCTTAATCAAGGGGGACACAAGAGCCCTGTCCCTTCTCCTCTACATAACCCTCCTGTTCGTCATCGAATCGATTTATACCGCAGTCCAAGCACGCACTGTGCAATTGATGTATATCGATAACCGAAATTACCCTGGGGGACCGTGGGCTTACTTCCTTGCGATGCAAAACCTCCCGGTTAACGTGAATCGTCACGTGATGTTCTACGCTACGCTGTTCGTGTTGACGTTTCTCTCAGATTTTGTCCGTGCTTTTCCACCCCGCGCAGCGTGTACCCCACTTTAGTATGAGAACGAACGGTGACACTGTCATTCGGATGTGCTTGATCAAGGGGACGACTTGGATCAAGGTTACAGCAATTCATGGCAATGCTTAGCTCTCACTCAGAGGGCTACTAAACCGCACAAAGTCGAAAGGGAAGACTGCTGTTGGGCAAGTAGTGGAATAAACCTCGTGAATGATGACTGCATGGTGTGACACGTACCTATGGGTCTTACAGCTGATTTCATATCTATGCGGAATCCCCAAAAAAAAAATTGAGCCCAGGACCCCAGAACCAAATGACATAATGTTTTCACATCCGCAATTCCTAACATGCCTCTAAGTTCCGTTTGAGTTCAGTTCTTTTGACCAGAGTCCAGGATGCCCCCTAGAACTGTATCCCGAGATCTCAAAGCTCGTATTCCGGTCCTCTATTACGAGCAGAACTTTACCATCAAAGAAATCTGTGGACTTCTAGGCATTAAAAAGTCTCTTGCATACAAAACACTCTCATACTCCTCCATTTATGGTGTTCCTTATAATCCTCATGCTCGCAAAGGAGGTCGTCGTCGAATTCTCAACAGAGAAGACATCAAGTTTGTTGTGGCCCTGATTGAACGCCAGCACTGCATCTATCTCGATGAGATTCAAGAGGAACTATACCTACATTGCAGCTGTCGCCCCTCCATCCCAACTTTGGTTCGCACTCTACGAAGGCTCGACTTCTCTTGAAAATGTGTCTCCATCCGCGCCCTTGAGAGAAATGACATCATGCGTGCTGCATTCATGAATACCATCGCCGAAGAAGTTCCACGACCCGACATGCTCATGTTTTTAGACGAGGCTGCACGTAATCGAAAGACATCTGGAAGGACACGGGGTTGGGCTTTAGTTGGAAGAAGATGTGTGCAAAGAAGGTTTTTTGTCCGAGGACAGCAGTACTCGATCCTCCCAGTTCTCACCATGGACAGAATCATTACATACGATGTCATTCAGGCTCTGTCACTTCCGCGCGCTTCGTCGAATTTCTCAGGGAGATGGTCATTCCACTTACAAACCCATACCCCGGTCCTCGAAGTGTCCTCATTCTGGACAATTGTAGCATTCATCATTCGGAGGAGGTCCGGGCACTTGTTGAGGACGAAGCCCAGTGCAAGCTTATCTTTTTACCACCTTACTCCCCAGATCTGAATCCCATCGAACAAGCTTTTTCGTGTATCAAAGCTTACCTTCATCGTTTTTGGCAAGACTTTTCTCTCTCTATCATAGATCGTGCTTGTCAACATGTCACGTCGAACATGGCTTGGGGTTTTTTCAAGGCTTCGGGGTATGTGGTCTGAACATTTTGTATAGACCTTAGGTTCAAGTAGTACAATTCGGGGATCAGGTACTGTACAAATACATCAATGGCTGCTACAATAATCACAAAAGTAATGGAGAGGTCAAAGTACAAATTATACGAGCATTGAGAAAAGAGAGTGTGATACAGACGGTAAACCTAATGAGAGGGCCATAAACCATTGTCTTCTTCACCATCAAGAATCGGAACCAGACCACGCGGAAGCGGAAGGGTCATCTTCAAGTCCTTTGAATAGAAGTACCAAGTAAAATCGGCGTTAGGGTCGACATCGCCTTCCATGGTGCCAGGTCCAAATAGCGTCCAAGATCCACCTTCGACGTAACGCTTCTCAAACCGCATTTTCTTGTTTGGAGGGGTTTCCTGTAGCTTCTCGGCTGGGCTACCTTCAAGCACTTCATGGCGATGCTTCAAAGCCCGTCCTGGTTCTGCTTTCCACCACAGCGGCGCAGCCTGTTTCAGTCGAAGAACATCTCCAGCAGGAATTCCGAGAGCGCATAAGGCTTTGTCGTCGACGAGATGAAGAATGTCGGGTCCATATCCTTCGCCGGCAAGTGCGTATTCATGGCGAGAAGCATTCTTCACACCCGCTTCTTTCTCAGCATGGGTAAGAAATCGACCAAGCTGCGAGGGAGATGGCTTGAGGGTATGGTGGTCGTCAGGTTGGTTTTTCTTTGGTGTGCTTGGAAGAGGTGGATTGCCTGGGTGAACAAGAGACGCGATCGAGTTGATGATTCCTGAGAGGGCAGCGAGAGTCGATGTTTCAGATGGGACTTCAGTACCAGTAGACCCGGAGCTTTCGGAGCGTTTTCGAGTGAGCAAGGAGGACTTTCTATTTGCTGGATCGAAGGTTTGAGGGTGTGTCGGATTGTCGATGTCAACACTCTTGTCCTTATCAACCTGAGACGACCATTGATTAGCGTAGCGTGAATAAAAAAGGATATCGACCAACAAGAGCACGAGCCCACTCTTTCATCATGAATGGGGTGAGTGGAATCGAGACGCCGGTCGCGTCGATATAGGTATAGCCGCCATCGTGATCGTTTTGATATTTCTTCTCGAGCTTTGCACGTTCTTTTGCCAGATCATATTCTTCTTTTGAAAGCCCCGGGTTGTCCTGTGATAATCGTGTTAGCAATTCCAAGGACGAGGTTTGACGAAACTCAGCAATACATCGTCGTCTCCGTCACAGGCCGCGCCCTCGTCGTCGGAACTCGATCCCCCTTCATTAGCACCTGCTTTCTGTCAAAAAAACTATGAGTGTGTTGCCACCATAGATGCCGTAACACATCTTCTACTCACCACTCGTTTAGCCGACTTCTCGATGCTCGGCATTTCAACAAATATGACAACCGGTTTCCCCACCGGTGCAGAAAGGATCGTATTCTTGACTAGGTCTTGGTATTCCTCGTAGTTGACCACATCAGGAGCGTCGCCCTGCCTAGATATTGTAAAGTAGATTAGGAACTGATATTGTAAGGATAGAGTAAACGTACTTGGCCGGATGGACTTGTATCTTGCAAGGGTAGACATTGCGGGCAGTGACTTTGTACTTCTTATCGACATGGTGCTTCTCTAGGATCGCTGTTAGAAGTTCGAGATAGTTGTCTTTTGACTCGGAGAAGTTGTGGTTGAAAGTTTTCGCCTTGATATCCTTAGTTTGTTTCTTGCCTTTGCCGTTGTTGCCAGCTTTGTAGAATGTGAGGCGAGCGACAACGGAAAGTTCGATTTCAGTAGGTTCGGTACCACTATCAGGTGTATCTACCATGATGAGAAACTTGGTAGACGCGACTGAATGGGTGTAAACGAGAACGATGAAGATGGAATACTTGATTCGGGGTCCCAGCCCTCAGCTGAAGCTAATAGGTACAAACAGCCAAAAAAAAATTTGGAATTCCGCATAGATTGAAATCGGCTGTAAATACATC